CCAGGCCCCTTAGCTCTGGGGAGCAGATGAAAGCGTGGAGAGAGAGCCCCCTCTCTCCCAGAGAGCCCCCAGGTCAGGCTGGGCTTTGGCAAGCTCTGAGCTTGAGCCCCACAGCTGCAGCAGTGCCCTGCTCCAGGCACCCGATCCACGTGCAGCACTGCGAGAGCTGGCAGTGACTGCTGCAGGGTGGGGGTAGCCTCCTGCAGGGGAGCTGCTGCTCTGGGATGGGGTGGCTGCGAATGGATTTTGGCTATGGATGCGGGGCTCTGTTGCTGCCCATGTGGACACAGGAGCCTGCTGTGGGTAGTCTTTGCTGCCGGCTGCAGAGTGATGCCAACTTGGAGCTGGCACGCCTTGGCCAGCCTAGCCACCTTTGCAATACTCCCTTCTTCCCTCCCTCCGCGCTGGAGTGTGTGTGTGCAGCAAACTGCAGACCAACTGTGGATCTGGATCATGCCTGCCAAGCGGGGAGCTGGGGAAGCTCAGCTGTCCTGCCAGGCCTGGGAGTGCTGGGCCCCCCAGTGCAGCCTCTAGTAACAAGTCACAGTTGTGCAGGTGGGGGACATTTGGAGAAGGTTTCAAGACTACGGGTGTGACTGCTCCAAACTCCACGCTAGCACTGAACCAATCAACATTTGTGCAGCTCACAGCTTAAGGTGTGATAAGGCCCTTTTATTTCATGTGCAAGATGTAAATAGTGTTTAGCTCATCCAGCATAGCACCAGTTCACTCGCTGGAAGCTGTATGTATGAATCGCCTGCTGCAGTTCATCAAAACAACACATGGCATCCTAGGAGCCTTTCCTGGTGAGCAGCTCTTGTTTAGATTTATTGCAAACTTTTTTCCTTTTAAAGACATCCTTTAAAAATCATGGGCCATGTTGATAGAAGTGTCTGGTCTTTTTGTAAAGATGGGGACATTCATTCAATTGGCACAGAATATTTCCTTTTTTTTTTTTTTAAATGGTTTCTACTGCCTCACTTGAAAGCTTGATTGTTCTGTTTGCAGTCTCAGCCCTGATCTCTCTTTCTTTCCTCCCCTCTAGCCCCATAGATGAGACCAGTCGGGTCGTAGATTTCAGAAAGGTTTAATAATGAGTCTTGCATAATGTTTACAAATTTTATATAGATTTTATAGCCCTCCTCCCACTCCAAGTTGTCCTAGTCCCCGTACATGACGGATCAAGGATGGAATGTCCCCAGTTGAAGGCTGCAGTAAAATGTCCGTTGACTTCAGCGGGGCCAGGATTTCACCCAAGGTCCCTCCCCTGGAGAGTTTATAGTCTGCCTTGTAGCTATCCCATCACATGACTCGAAGTAGGGATGGGCTGAACTGAAGAATGACAAACGGGATTGCAGTCGCATGCATACTCCAGTTGGGCATGATCACTATCTGGTTGTGCAGATATGTCCTCTTCCTGGTAGATACTTGGTGATGACTAATGAGGTAATACACATTGTAATCTCCATCTCCTTGATTTATTAAAGAGAGAGCTGGTCATAAGAGATTTCTGTAACTTCCAAAACGCTAATGACTAGCCTTACTGATTGGGAGATTCCAACACAAAGTACCCAAGAGTTGGATGGAGCTTGAAATTAAGGCTAGAGTGGGGTGAAGTGTTGCGTGACTTGTTCATGTAAACACTTCCTTAATCTGTTCTCCTTTGGCCTCTTCACCGAGTTTGCGTGAGTCTTGAGGCTAGTGTTGCTCAAACTTGAGCAGCTCAAAGTGGATCTCTCCAGTGGTGGACTGTCGCAGGGCTTCCACCGGCCAACCCAAGCCAGGAATCCACACCCCCAAGCAAACAAAAAATAAAAACCCTGGAGAAGCAGGCAAGGTATCCAGAAGTGACCATGGATTTTGGAGTGCCCTGAGCCTTTTTTGCCACGATGGGCTGAGTACCCACTCTCTGGATAAGTGCCCCCTCTAAGGTGCCCATTTAGAGGCAGCTGGACACAAGGCTCCCAAAACCATTTTTGAGGATCTGAGTCTTGGCCTTTTTTCCATCATTTTGCTTTTGGCTGTCTCCTGCCTGTAATCTTAGGAAAGGACTAATCTGTGCCCTCTGGGATAAAGGGAGGGAAGGGCAGAGAAGTCTGCATCCTTGGAGATCAGCATACTTCTTTGCAAAACCTCTCTGCCCCCCTGAAAGGATGTTTTATGCCTGAAAGCTTGCCCTGTGCGTCTCTCTTGACTACAGATGGTTGGTCCAAAAACAGATGCCACAAAAAAACCTCAAACGCTACCCAACCCTTGCTGCTTCCATATTTCCTGAGCCATTGAAATGATATAACACTTTAAAGGTGCATTCAAGCTGGCAGATGCCCTCTAACTTTCCATGGCACCCGTGCTCTGGTGTGACATCCTCTGTAGCAACCAAGGGGTATTCCTACGATTCATCTCTGACTTGTGCTTCCATAGTTGTGCTCCAAACACTCCCTGGGAATGAGGCCAGTCTGCGAAACAGTCAACAGGGCTCTGTTAGTTGATCTGAGGAGAAATTGGATCGGGCCTTTCTGTGTTGGGCATGCTTCTTTAGCACATTGCCCAAATTGAAACTGGCCCCTTTTCTCATTAGCGGTTGTCAGACCATAACTTACTTGTTTTGATCACTCGGTAACTTCGATACAATCAAGTAAACATTTAGGTGTTGGCTAGCAACTTGTTGCGCTCTCTTCTTAGAGCTGCGTGCTAATTCCTCTTATTACTCAAGTACCATTATTATTTATGTGGCCTTTCCTCCTTGGGCAGCCACTTCTTTCCCTGGGTGTGTCATTAGCCAGCCTTAGTCCACTTTCAGGACTAGGTTTAGACTCGGTATAAATATATTGCACCATCATGGCTAGGGGAAAGCATGGAGGCAGGGTCAGGGTGAGGTTTTTATGGTAGCTTTTGGCTGCATTATCAAAGTCTTGCATACCTCTATGACTCATTAGTCATATTGTCTACTTTGCCTTTGATTTTATTGTATGATCTCGGGTGTTGTCCAACTCTCCCCACTAGTTTGCTCATCTACAGCATAAATGATTTAGTACTTGTATTGCAGTTGCCTCTAGAAGTGCCAGACAAAAAACCTAGATGGATACTCTTTGCCTTTATTGTCCAAATATAAGTATAGGCAACTAGTGAATACTATGGGCCTACAGGAAGGGGTGA